CGGGGGCCGCGGGCTGGCGTTGACGCGGGCCCGCCATCCTCAGGACGTGTTTCTCATGATCCGGCGCCACAAGACCACCATCTTCACGGACGCCAAGGAGTCGAGTACCGTGTTCGAGCTGAAGCGCATCGTTGAGGGCATCCTCAAGCGGCCGCCGGATGAGCAGCGGCTGTACAAGGTGCGACGAGCGGGCGTGGCGGTTGCGCGCGTGGGGGCCAGGCAGGACGCCCGACAAGGGGGGTCCCAGATCGTGCGGTGTGGCCGGCGGCAATCGGGTCCCGGGCCTGCCGCCCCGCCCTGCCAGGCGGCCTTGCTCAACGGTTGGGGAAACCGAGGCCTCGGTGGTCTTCTGCAGCCGAACGAAGGTCGTGGCAGAGCCAGGATTTGAACCACAGCGTGCCTGATCTTCGGCTTGCGGGAAGTCCACTGGAATCCCACCACCGGAGGGTGGGGTGGAACTCGATGAACGCGAGTATTGTCTGGAAGATAGGTCAGGATCCCACCAGTGCTTCACCTAACTAGTGTTTATCCTTGTCAGTCTGCTGATGGTCTTAGAACCACCTCTCATTCAAGCACACCATTTTCTTGGGAAGCCAGCTCCAGTTTTCAGTAAGCCAGGCTATGGAGTTGGATCCTCATGCTCAATGTCCATCCAGAAGCATGATGTCAATCAGTCACCTAAGTGCATTGAGCTAATTCTGGCAGTAAATGGGAGCTGACCTTTTACTCCAGCTTAAAGCTTGCTTCCTATCTCTGAAGGACTTTCTAGGCCTCTCTAAGTTATTGAAACTTCCGATTGTCCTGTGAGTTGAATATTCCAGAACACCCTCCCCCCCCTTTTTTTGTTGTTTTTATTTTTGAGACCGGCTTTTTCTGTAGCTTTGGAGCCTGCCCTGGAACTAGCGCTTGTAGACCAGGCTGGCCCCGAACTCACAGAGATCCGCCTGCCCCCCCCCCCACCCAAGTGCTGGGATTAAAGGTGTGTGCCACCACCACCATCCAGCTGAAAACAAATTATGGGTTTTTGGTTGATTGGTTGGTTTGGGTTTTTTCGAGGCAGGGTTTCTCTGTAGCTTTGAAGCCTATCCCGAAACCAGCTCTATTAGACCAGGCTGGCATCGCACTCAGAGATCTGCCTGCCTCTGCCCGGTGCTGGGATGCTGGGATTGAAGGTGTGCGCTGCCACCACCACCCAGCACAAAACACCCATTTTAAGGTGAAGGTTGATTAGAAAAACAAAAACAAACTGAGTAGTAGTCAGAGACTCAGCTCTGTTTAGTGCTAACATAGCCTGCATGAAGCCTTAGGTTAAATCATCAGCCTGGAAAAATTGGGAAATAATCCATTTTGGGAGGTAGAGGCAGGAAGAGCATAAAATGTATGAGATCTTATCTCAAAAAAAAAAAAAAGCACCCAGCTACCTTTTTGAGATAGATTTACCTAGAGAGCTTGGAAAAGCCAGAACCCAGAGCCTTTGTGGGTTTTATATTTGTGTGATACATGCCCACACACAGTCCAGGTGCTTGCAGAGGCCAGAAGACATCAGATTCCATTGAACTGAACTTGTGAGCCAATCTATAGGTGCTGGAAAATCAACTTGGGATTCTCTGCCAGAACTTGTAACTGCTATGAGCTCCACCATTCCAGGCAGATTTGGAAATTCTTGGCTATAGCTCTAGAATGTGTGCTTTACTTAGGGATGACTCCTCAACATAGTTGCTGACATGCTGGGCAGAAGGCTCTCTTGGGACTTGTCCCTTTTAGAACCTCTTTCCCAAACCTGCTTCTCTCTTCAGGATGACCAGCTCCTTGACGATGGAAAAACTCTGGGCGAGTGTGGCTTCACTAGCCAGACAGCACGGCCACAGGCCCCAGCCACAGTGGGCCTGGCCTTTCGAGCAGGTAAGATGGCTAACCTGGATAGCAGCTAGCAGTCTGGTAACACCCAAAGAAGGGACTTTGGGAAGCCTCTAGTTCCTCAAAGCTTTGAGGGAATATCTACCCAGTCCACAAAGAGCATGAGGTATTTGTTTCCTTATTAAAAAGCAAAGCTTGGGGACTGATAATATATTTCAGCAATTAAGATCACTGGCTGTTCTTCCAGGGGACTTGGGTTTTATTCCTAGCACCCACATGGCAGCTCAGAACTGTTTCCAGTTCCAGTGGATCTGAAGCACCAGGCATGCATATGGAGCAGACAGGCTTACATTCAGACAAAACACCTGTCCACATAAATAATTTTAGAAAAATTGAAACACACAGGGACTTGGGAGGCAGAGGCAGGTGGATCTCTTTGAGTTCAAGGCCAGCCTGGTCTCCAGAGCGAGTTCCAGTACAAAACCCTATAGGGGATGGGGGGATGAAACACAGGAGATATGGAAATTAAAGATGACTTTCAGATTCCTAGTACCAGCACATTTACAAGATTTATTGACTACTTGGCCCTGTACGTTATATTGATCATCCCACCTCATCTTTTTTTTTTGGGGGGGGGGGTTTCTCTGTGTGGCCTTGACTGTCCTGGAACTTGCTCTATAGACCAATCTGGCCTTGAACTCGTACCCATCTGCTTTGGCTTCCCAAGTGCTTAGATTAAAAGGTGTGGACCACCATGCCCAGAAGAAATGTGCCAGATTTTAAGGAGTAGTGAGCTGGGGTAGTTAGAGCACGTGTTATAGATCATGTGTCAGACTGGTGGTACCTGCCTTTAATCCCAGGCAGAGGCCAGCCTGGTCTACAGAGAGTTCCAGGACAGCCAGGGCTTGTAGAGACCCTACCTAGGGAGCAGGAAGCGATTTAATAATTTTATTGTCTCTTGGAATTTAAACAAGGATCACAGGGCTTGTTTTTAAGCTGTGGACCCAGGGACCCTATGGACAAGAAAATGTGAAGAAATGGCTCGGCAAATTAAGAACAGGTCTTGCCAGGGACCTGATTTGAGTTCCCAGTATTCACAGCTCACCACTACCCATAACTCCAGTTCCAGAAAATCCAATTCCTTTGACGTTCATAGGCACAAGCCATAGACACAGAGGAAAATCTTTGAACGTGACAGGAAGTAACTTTTTTAACTTGAAAAACAAAATAGAACCAAAGGCTAAGACGGGAAGTGTGTAGTTCTCATTACACTTCTTAGTCTTTATCACGCATAGCCAGTTGCACTCTTGTACCACCTAGCTTGTAGTTCCCGTGTCCACAGAGCACCGAGGCAGGGCCTGCCTTAAGTGCCCCATATTATAAGAATCTGCCCTGAGATAACTGCCTGTTAAGTAACATTGGTGGGGGCACTTACAGGGCTGGTGAAGATCCACAGGCCAGATGTCAAATGAGCTTCACTTTTCAGTGGGCTCATAAGGCTGAAAACACAACTTGTCTGCTTTTTAAGCTAAGGCCAGGTTGTATTGTCTCAAATCACCCTTTTTCTTCAAGCAAAACCTGTTACCCTGAAGGCAAACCTTGCCCTAGAAGACATTGCTAGCCCTATTTTAAAGTTATATCAAAGCTAAGAGAAGGGACTTTTTTTTTTTTTAATGTAACTCCTGATATGGCTCTGGATATGGAGGCAACTCTGGACCAAAAGGCTCTGTATTACCCTCTGGCAAATAGAATGTGTTGTGACAGGATGTTCAGGGTTGTATACCTCACAAATTGCAGAAACTTCTAGAAGCAGCTGTCAGCATTGGGTTTTTGGACCTAATTAGGTACTATCCCTCTCTCTTCACTCAGTGTCCATGCTGAAGGATAAAGCAAGCTTCTCCCTAACACTAATATTAGGGATTTTTTTAATAAAGATTTTATGTATACAGCGTTCTGTCTGCATACATGCCTTCAGGCCAGAAGAGTGCACCAGATCTCATTACAGATGATTCTGAGCCACCACGTGGTTGCTGGGAATTGAACTCAGGACCTTTGGAAGAACCACTGAGCCATCTCTCCAGCCTTTTTAACTAGACCCATATCAAGAATGAGGGAAATAATCAACTATCATTGAAAGTTTGTAGCAATAGATGATAGATCTGTCTCCCCAGGGACACAGGGTTTGCGTAATTCTGGCTGCCCTCAAATTCAACTGGCGTTTTGTGTCCAGAATGGTTTACTGTGCACGCTGTTCTTACAGAGCACCTGGGTTCAAGCAGTCACATGCTAGCAATGTCAGCATCCTTTAATTCCTGGTAGCAGTCCCAGCTCTTCCCTACCTCCTTACCTAGTTTATAACAACAAAAGTATCTCCAGACATGCATGAACAACTCATCGGTTGAAAATTGAGAGCCAGATCAAAAGTTTCTAGGTTGGTATAAGCCCAGGAGAGAAGATGTGTGGTATAAAGGTTCGTTTGTTTTGTGCGGAGTCAACAGTAGGCACTAAAAATAGGGCTAAGGAGCTGAGAGTAGTACTTGCCTGACAGCATGAAGCTGAGAGTCTGATCCCAGCACTGCATTTAAAAAAAAAAAAAAAATCAGGTAATCCCAGCATTTCAAGTCTAAATTAGCAAGTTTGAAGGCAGTCTGGGACATGTGACCCTGCCTCAAAAATAAGCAATTAAAGCCAGTGGTAATATTTAAATTCCCAAGGCTCAATACTCTGAGGTAACATTTCAATTGAATCCCACTGTGAATACCCAACTTTAGGACCCAAAAGTGCAAAGGCTGCCTTGAGTCACAAAGAAGTTGGTGTGGTGTCTTTGAAAACAAGTGTTTTTGCTTGTATCAATGTATTGTGCCTGCCTGGTGCTCTCATGTCAAGAGGGTTGTCAGATCTCCTGAAAACCAGCTTAGGCAGTCGGTGAGCCGCCATGTCCCAGGTCCCCTGCAAGAGCAACATGCACTCTGGTTGCTTTGTTTTCACTGAAACAGAGTTTATGTTATCAACCCTGGCTGTCCTTGAACTCATCAAGTCTCTCGAAGGTCTGCTTGCCTCTGCCTCCCACGTGCTGGAATTAACAGTGTACACCACCATGCCCAATGCAACACATACTCTCAAGCACCGAGTCCTCTCTCTGCCCAGCTCAATATATATAATTGATACAAGTAAGTCTTAAGCAAAGAAAATAGTCTTGGGATTTTCAGTCATTTGGTGGCCAAGGAATTGAGATGCTGGTGGAAGGTAATGGCAATTTGGGGACAGAAGGTAGACAGACACTGACCTAGTGGGGTCAGTGGTAAAATTGGGCCTCTGGGGATAGAAGACTTTGTTGGTATTGAGAGGTGCTTGCATAAAAGACCATCCTTCCAAGTGAAAAGAAACAAGGCATCTTACGCTCTTCTTCCCTTCCACAGATGATGCCTTTGAAGCACTGCGCATTGAGCCCTTCTCCAGCCCTCCAGAGCTTCCAGATGTGATGAAGCCACAGGATTCTGGAGGCAGTGCCAATGAACAAGCTGTGCAGTGAGGGCCCCAGCCCCCCACCCCAAAGACCCATTCCCTCAATAAAGATGATTTGGCTGTCCACCTGGCTGCTGACTTTGTTCCCTCTTACATTATAGGTTCTACTTGCTCACTCAAGCTTACAAGGCTATCCTGTATTGTAGTCTCTGTGGCTCAGGTCCCATAGGCCAAACACGAACACTAGGACTGAAAACCCAAAGTCTGTAGACCCAATTACTGCGTTTCTCATTTTTTATTTGACAGAAAAGTTGCTTTTGCTGTACAGATTTTAAAAAACCAAAATGCATTAAGAAACATGAAAGTTGGGGGGAGGGGTGTCACAACCTTATGAAGGGGGGTGCAGCAACTCCTTCAAAATTAACTCCTTCTTCCAAGAACACGTGACTTACCAAGTCCCAAAACATCAGTCACCCCCAGGAACTTGAGCAGGAACAGCTCCCTGGATCATTACAATTTCCTGAACTGTGCCCCTCCCTCCCCAAACTCTCATTCCCTCCCACTCCAACCCCGCAAAACATATGAACCAGGAAAAACTCACAGAGATCAACATTTCACAGGAACAAAAAAAAGGGAGGGGAGCCCTCCCCTCAAGATGCTGCCAAGGTTCAAGGGAAGGCAGACAAAGACTCCTTCCATGATTATTCTGGGAAAAATGAGGAATACTCATGTCTCCAGAGCATGAGGTGTGGTGGAATCCAGATTATGGAGACCTGCAACAGAGAAGATTGGTCAATGCGTCACTTCAAATATTCTCAACTAACTTCTAACTCTCAAGGACCAGGCTTCCAAGGAGACAGACCTGGAGGACCGGTGGCGATTAGGTCGGGGACTGGGTGTCTCCTTCCTGCGCTTGTGCCCAGGAGAACGGCTGTCCCCACGCTGGCCTCTCCAGGAAACTCGCTCACTGCTATAAGAGAATAGAAATTAGGCACTAGAACAGTACCTGTGGAGGGCTGGACCATATTCTCCATTGCTTCTAGGAACAAAGGTAGAGATTGACCTCTGTGACCCCAAGGTGTGGCGGTACACGCCTTTAGTCCTGATGCCTGCCTGGGCGGCAGAGGCAGATTGACCTCTGTGACCTCAAGGCGTGGTAGTATACGCCTTTGGTCCCAATGCCTGGGAGGCAGAGACAGGCAGATCTCTGTGAGTTCAAGGTGATGTAGCATACGCCTTTAATCCCAGTGCACATGCTTGGTAACTCTCTACCGCTGCGTCCCTGCCTATTCCCGAGGCATCATCTGGGATAATGGGCAGCGGACCAATCCAAGAGTGACACGTCAGAAGCGGGGACTGTTTCCTTTATAAGGGCTGGGTTTCCGCCATGGGGCATTAAAGCTTTACTGCAAAAGTATCCCAAGTGCCCCGCGTCGTTCTTGCTGGCAAGATGGTAGCGCGGGACAAGTACCGTTTTCATTGGTGGTTAGGTGAGCTAGATTGATAGTACCTGCTATGTGCCCTACCTCTGTTGATCCCTTGGTGAAGGCTGGGGCGAGGGCTGGTGACGCTCCACAGGTGAGTAACTGAGGGATCGAGAATCCCGAAGGGAGTCTATTGGCTTTCGAGGGCTGCGTGACCTAGGGAGCAGAGTAGGCCTCTATAGCACCATGTCCTCCCAAACCCACCAGCCAAGCATTCAGGACCACCCACCCAGGTCCTGACCACCAAACCTCACACCACACAGGGCCAGCCTCAGACCCACCTTTGTCCGCACTCACCCATCCGCCCGCACACCATCCACCGAGTGCCCCCAGTGGACAGGGTGCAGCGGGGGATGCAAAGATAAAAGAGTCCCTGCCCTTGGAGTTTTGTTTGGGAGTGAAGGAGGTCAACAATGAAGGCACACATGCCCCCTATATAGGAAACAGGCCAGCGGGGATGGATGTGCATGGGCCTGAGGATCCGAGCAAGGATGGGGGGACCTGGGCAGGGCAGGGAAATGGCAGGGCAGTCTTCTCGAAGGTGCTGTTTGGGTGCAGTCTTGCAGAACGAGTTCACCAGGCAGACAAGGAAATCCCAGGCAGAAGGAACAGCATGTCCAAAGGCATGGGGCTCTCCTTAAGACTGCAAGGCGCTGGGTATGACCGGAGCACAGGGCATGTGTGGGGGCGGGCAGGAGGAGCACAGGGCGGGCAAGGGCAGCTGGTGAAGAGCCTCACACGCCATTCCTGCAGAGGTGGCACTTTATCCTGCAGGCCACAGGGCGTCCCGGAAGGATTTGTGGAGTGAAGGGAAGTAACCAGATGTGCGTTTTAGAAAGATCCCTCTGGCTACGTGTGGAAGAGAATGGCGTGGAGGCAGGGAGACAGGGAGGAGGCTGTGGACAGAGTCGGGAGAAGATGACGGTGGCCAGACCAGAGCCCTGCAGCAGCAATGGGGAGACTTAGAGCTAGAATCTCTGAGACCAGGCTGCTTGTCAGGGGAGGGGAGAGGGAGGAAGAATCCTACGACTTCCCAGTTCTGGCCTGGGCCCTCAGATGGACAGTGCAGCCCTTGACCAGAGCACTGTGGGAGGATAAGAGGAATGTCGGACTCCTCCCATACAACCAGACACAGACGTCCACACGAGGCACCCCAGCAGGAACCTCACCCAGGGTCCCTTTTCTGGAGAACTCACCCCCAACCCCCTTTCCACAACAGGCAAGGAAGCACTCACCTCCTCTCGCCAGGGGGTGGCTTCTTGGGGCTTGCAGGTTTGGGTAAGGCCTGAGGGCCAGGCTTAGCAGGGGAGGGGGAGGAAGAAGAGGAAGAGGAGGAAGAAGAGGAAGAGGAAGAAGAAGAGGAGGAGGAAGAAGAGGAGGAGGAAGAGGAGGAGGAGGAAGAAGAGGAAGAGGAGGAGCTGGAACTGGAGCTGCTAGAGCGCCTCTTCCGTTTGGCTGGGGTTGGCTCCTGAGGGCGTCCTTCTCGCACAGCCTCCTTTGGGGCTGGGGTGGGACTGGGGACCCTGTGAGAGAAGAAAGGTGTCAGAAGGAGACAAGATGCCCCAGCCCCAACCCTACCTTCCTTGGCCTGGAGGAATGGCAGTGGGGGAGGGGTGCCTGAGAAAGGCCCTGGGAATACTCGAAGGCAGGCCAGTAAGCACTTCTCTGGAGCAGTGGCACAGAGCTGACCAAACCTCTGCTAACACAGGCAACAGGCTGGGGCCCGAAGCACAAGGGATCAAGGTTAAACCTCAAGAATGTCCCTGATGAAGGAATAAAGCCCCTGGACTCAGATGTGGAAGCTGAAGCTGGGTGGTCTCCGTCCTTGGAGAGCCGCAGCTTGGGGAGGCCCCTGTGAGTGCAGGTTGGCAGGGGAGGGGCCGTCCTGCCTGGAGGCAGGGAGAGGGATGGGATGACCTCTGAAGATCCTTCCAGCCCAGGGAGTTCCTCTTGAGGTCTAACTGCCATCCCTCCTGCTGTAAAATTAAGTCCATTTCCTCTAGTTCTGTCCTCTGTAGAGATGGAAAACTTATCATTATCCTCTAGAGAATTAACCTTTGGAGACTTTTATCTGCCCCATTCCTCCCCACGAAGCCCCCACCCAGCATTCTTTCTATTCCCAACTTGAAGGTCAAGGTTCCCCAAACTCGCTCAAAAGCCAAGCACTTGTATCAAGATTTTTTCCTCCCAACTCCCCCACCCACTGTAATATACCTTCCCCCTAGATTCCTTAACTCCCTCACCTTTTCAGTGCCACCTCAGGCTGAGCAGGAAGGCTGGAGCCCTCAGAGTCGCTAGAACTGGAGCCAGAGGAAGAGGAGGAGGAGGAGGATGAAGATGAGGAAGAGGAGGAGCTAGATGACGATGAAGAGGAGGAAGAGCTCCGACGTTCCTTTGCTGGTTGCAGAGCAGCCAATGCAGAAGGCTGCTGGGCCCCAGTAGAGGCTGGTGGTTCCCCACCTTCAGCATGGGACACCCCTGGGGCAGGGCCAGAAAGCATGCCATTGTGATCACTAGCAGAGGATGTGGACTTTGCTACTGTCCCAGAGGAAAGGGACTGAGACCCTGCTACAGGAGTGGTCTGGGCAACTGAACGAGACTGGTCTGAAAAGGCAGATGGCACAGGGGACCGAGGTCTATCCTGTGCTGGAGGGAGAAGAGATTGCGAAGGAGCCTGGACCATTCTTGAAGCAGGGGAAGGAGCCCGTTCAGAGGTCATCCTAGACTGGCCTGGGGCAGATGGTGGTGTTCTGGACCTGGCTCGGTCAAGCAGTAATGGTGAGGTTCTGCCACTGACACGCTCATAAGCAGAAAGGGGCACCCTAGGACTGGTGAGATTTGCACCAGACAAGGCTGGAGCCATCCTGGCACTTGAGAGATTTGCAGGAGCCAAGGCTGCAGGGGTTCGAGAGCCAGCAATATTCACAGGAGCTGTGCCATGTGCAGATCGAGGACCCACCAGGTTTGCAGGAGGAGGAGCCTGGGGTGTTCTGGAACTGGAGGGATAATTTGCAGCAGTTGGGGGTGTCCCAGAGCCTGAGAGACTCAAAGCCGCCAATGCAGCTGGTGTTCTAGCTCCTGCGAGGTTCACAGCTGTAGCTGCAGGGGCTCGAGGATCAGCAAGGTTCACAGCTGAAGGAGGGACTGCTGTTCTAGGGCTGGCTAAGTTCATGGCTGCTGCTGCAGCTGGTGTTCTTGAGTCAGCAAGGTTCACTGATGTTGGAATAGCAGATGTCCTGGCACTGGCAAGGTTCATGGCTGCTGCAGATGCTGCTGGAATCCTGCTGGCAAGGTTGGCAGCTGGGGCTGTTCTAAGGCTCATGAGAGGTACAGGAGCTGGAACCTGGGACATTCTCGCGGCAAGACCAGCAGCAGACATAGACGGAGGTGGTCGGGCAGTGCCAAGACTGATAGCTGTCAGGGCAAGTGCAATTCTAGACTGAGCATGGTTCTCTGGAACAGATGTTCTTGGGTGATCAGGAATCCGGGGACCTGGACCATCCATCATTGAGCCACCAGTCTGCTGTAGGACAGACATGGGTGTTCTCGCACTGCCAAGGGGTTCAAGCATACCAGGTGATCTACATCGGTCAAGAGGAGTTGGTGACATGCTAGGACGACTGAAGCAGCTCATCCTAGAGC